TGCTTTTAGTAAAAATCCCAAATATCATTCTAGAAGCAAACATGTGAACATACAATATCATTTTACTAAAAAAAGATCTTTACTAAAGAAATCAAATTATAATATATACCAACCATGCATATGACAATAGATTTATTTATAAAATATTTTTGCAAAGAGAAACATTTTCAATGCCTATCTCAAATAAGCATGTATTAATTTCTTCTAAATAAAAAATTGCAAACCGTTCTATAATTATTCAAGCCTTTCTGGTCTAATTAAAACCACAAAACAAAAAACATACAAATATCAAACAGGAAGCAACAAATAAATAAAAATCAACAAAAAAAAAAAATCATATACCTTCTTAGAATTGAAAAAGTAGTGGGAGAACTATTAGAAAGCTCTCCAACATTTCAATATCAACAAAAAGATTGAAACCATAAATTTGTTTTATATATTTGTTTCAAAATAGATAAAATTTAATTTGAGGATGAAAATTAGTATCCTAGTGGGAGTGTTGAGAGAATTATTTTATATAATATATTAGTCTTATGTATAGAATACTATATACTCTTATTGACCTTATACTAAGAGTTGTACCTCTTGGTGTCACTCTTATACATATAATATATTGTGTAAAATTAATCATATTAAAATATAATAATATTTCTAATAAGGTATTGATAGGTCGAATTGTAATAAGCCACCTTTAGAGTATTGAAATCAATATATAGATAAATTATTTTTATCTTAAAATAGTAGTGTATGTTGGTGAAGATCAAGTTTTGAGACCTACTCTTATTTATTGCTTGTATTATAATATCTCCATGCACATTGCCATTTCTAGGATGTCATTAGATGATGTTACTTATAGTGACCCAAATATTGAGCATAGTCAATGTGAGTTGAGTTTAAGTTGAATTCTTTGGTACAAAATAGGCCCTTGCTTATAAAGACCAAAATCTTATAATAGAAAAAAGTGTCCAATATTATCCTTGGCTTGGTGGTCATGGATTTATATGGATTCTATGTAAGCTAAATATTCTTTCTAATCAAGCATGGACTCTAAGCCATGAAGGAGTGCATGAGTAGTGACACAACTAAATCAAAGCGTACCTCTTGGTGTCACTCAAGCAAAGAGTAGTGACACAACTAGATCAAAGCGTCTCCATGGCGAGCCAATTAAATGCCTACATCTCTTGAGTAAAGATTAAATTTTTTAGATGGTGCTTAGATAACTATAGGTATAGATATATAAATATTAGAATGGATAAATATATATATGGATGAATATATCTTGTTCATTCAACTATGAGTGTCAATTATAAATTAGAATTCATTCAAAAAAATAAATCAAAATAAAAAAATCTTAAAAAATAAGTTTGGACTTGACCTTTGCTTGGATTAATCTTAACAATATGTAGATCATATTTTTAATTTACAACAAAATAAATAAACAAAGACATCAAAATATGTAATATCTATAATAATAATATTTAAAGATTTAAAATTTACTTTTTGATACTACTTAAAGTATACAAAATTAATATAATGAATGTATCAATATGTATATATATATATATATATATATATTGAATCTGATTTTAGGCACCTTCTAGATCTTTTTAATTTTTTATCATTTATCTTTAATATCTTTTAGAATCTTTTGATCCTTCATGTGAGATATACTAATCTAGTTTCTTTGTAATGCTTATTTTTTTTGGTTTTTTTTCCTTGCATCCTTGATAAACTATACAAATGTATTTTCTTGAAATATAAAAAAATATAAAAAATATTTAAACTAAAAAAAATAGATTTTAAAAAATCAATGATGGTAATTTATTTTGATTCTTTATTTCTTTAACTATCACAAGTAATTTATCTAATTTTTGATATTATTCAAAAAAAAATTACTCTCTTATTCATCAAATTTTAAAAAAAAAATATTAAAAAAATATTTCAACAAAAAATCTAATATTATGCTTTCAATTAAGTATATATAATATTTATAATTAATTATTAAAAAATATTTGATAATTAAATATCTAAGTTTGATTTTAATTTTTTTTTGTAGTAGAATAAATTATTCAAAATTTTTAATTTTTTTAAATTTTTAGTATTGGAATAAAATTATCAAATCTTCTAGATTGACTAGTACACTGCAGCTCTCATAAGTTAGACACATTATTTACTTGTTGATCTTGTGGCTTACATTCTATCATTGGTAATTTTTGTACAAGTCATCTTATTATTAGGTATGTACAAAGAAATATGGATGATTCTCAATCATGTGAAAATAAGAAATCCACAACAAATATTATTATAATATTTATGTAGAAAAAAAAAAATCAAGTTGTTCTTGTCGCCATTTAGGATTGTGTAGACAATGCCATTTTCTCACATGTTAGAGCATACAAAACTACAAAGCATGATTAGCTCTTGAAAACACATATTTAACCAGTGACATAGTCACTTGAGCACATCTATAAGAAAAATTTATAACATAAAAAATGAAAGTAGACAAATCCGCCATACAACATTTTTATAACTTCAATATCATTCAGCCAGAGTGATAATTCCATTACAAATGGAAATACTCACTTTAATGAGATCTATGCCATTACAATATGGAATTGTCATACAAATTGATTGCACTTCCAATATTAATTGCAATTCTTTTACAAGAAGAAATAGCTATGACAGGCTGAACCTCAAAATCTCAAGCTCTCTTTGCAGGCCGCAAAACATAAGGCAACTAGCAATCACGTCCTTAAATAAAACATAACATAAGAGGCCCAAAATTCTCTACAATCAAGACAAAACCAATAACCTTGTATCTTCATTGCAACAAATCTCCCGTTGCCGTTCACTCCATCACCAAGATTTCTTCCAGCTCTAGGGGCACTTGTTTGCCTGTCACCAATATCGCACCCTGGCTCACTCCCGCACCATATTCAAAGTTTACCCGCTCTCACCTTTCTACTCACACAGTCAGCCACTCAGCCAGCGACACGGACAAAAGAATTTGGTCTGTCAGCTTTTCGATGCCCTCAGTGCTCTGTGCGACTTGATCACAACAGACTTAAGACCCGCCTCTTTCCAAAGCTCTCTGAATCGGTTCTTCCTCTGGATATGAGAAATCGACAATCGCCATATCCAAAATATCGGCTAACACCCCAGCAGTCCCTTCCGCTGCTATACACTATGGAAGACAACCGAGACAACGACTCCCCAGTCTCCTGATCTGTGCACATATGGCAGCTTTTCACAGTGAGTTCTCTTCTCAACAAAAAAATGGAAAACAAGCTTCTCTGTGGCATTGCCATCTTGGTCACATCAGCACACAACGACTAAAACAATTAGCTCAACACAAAGCCGTTAGTGGACTATCACTAAAGCACGTTCCAGCTCAAATGTGCTCAACTTGCCTTCACGGAAAACAAACCATTACAAAATTTCCAAAAATTGCCACTTTTCGCGCCTTTCAACCTCTCGAACTTGTACATTTAGATCTAAGTAGCCAAGTGGCCACTCCAACATTTTCAGGATTCAAATATTATGTCACATTTATTGATGATTACTCTCGATATACAGTACTTCGTCTCCTTCAACGAAAAAGCGAGTGCATTGAATTTTTCAAAATCTTTCACATGTGGGCCTGAGACACAAACTGGATACAAAATGCGCACCCTCCTATCCGATCAAGGAGAGTATCTCTCCTCCAAATTTGACAATTACCTATCAACCCATGGGATACAACGTCAGTTAACAACTTATACTCCAAGACAAAACGGTGTTGCTGAATGCAAAAACAGAACTTTAATGAATGGTACAAGATGCATGTTACATGAAGCACTTAGAATGCGGCTCGATGAGCACCAAGTTCGCTGCAATTGGATCATCTGCATCTGTGAACTCTACAGTGGGACATATGTACATAGTGATTGACCAAATTTGGAGGACTGATATTTTGGAGATGGCCCTTGAGACTGAAAAGCGTGGGGCTCGCATCTAGTCAATTCAGCAAAATCCTAGATCATACAACATTTACAATGTGCTTTGTCGAAGGATAGGAGAAAATAGCTCGAGGAACGATTGCATCCGCTTCAGAATAATTTACAATCTTAGCCTCACATATTGTAATTGATCCGCTCTAAAAATCTGGTTCATCGCTGCCATCGACCTGAAGCAAATAGACTATGCGTGACATGATTGTGTATGCAGCGCTTGTGTTCTTCCTCATTTTATGTGCAGTAGTCCAGAGTTGCAAAGCTTCTGCGAGCATGTGACTCGCCAATATTCTTAGAGTTTTCTTTTCTTGGATATCGGCATACTTCTCACGCCCAATTCCTCTCTGGCAGATTACAGGTTCTGAGAACAAAGTGGAGAACGCTACAACCCACGTGCAGATTTGCTCCTCAGCCCCGTACCCTTAAGAGACTGCTGCCATCACTGAACTGTCAGAGGAACGACAGAAAGCATGAAAAGATCGCTGACATTTCTAGAGTATAGCCGGTAATTTACCATAAAGACGACAGAGTGATGAAGACCAACAATTGAAGCATCCAGGTTCGAAATGTAGCAGATATGTTCGTATGCTTCCTGATATGAACCTTGAGGGTGCCAGTTACAGAAAAATATAAATGTGAGATTCATTCACGCTTTCCAGTGCAGGAATTTATGACAAGTTAATCAATAGATAAGTACGAGTTTGAAGGAAAAACTCTTGCGCATGACGTTTTTCTGATAAGAGCTTATTTGAGAATTTTGTTTATTTTAATCGCATGGAAACAGTATTTCGTTTACAATGTACTAGAAAGAATACCGTAATAATGCCATCAGTGATTTTAGCATCGGTTCTGCAAAAGACTAACAAAGAGCGTTTGACTGCCAAGTTCAAAAAGCCTCTTGAACTTGTTTGCAACATTGACAGGATGGCAACAAGATGGCATTGTCGTCTTGTTGTGATATTCGATGGCACATGGAACGAGTTGAGCGACTGAACTAGTGTCGCACGTATGCACGAGGCGATCGATTCGGGCCCAGATGAAAATGGAGTCGAGCAGCTGGTAAAATATTACTCAGGTGTTGGAATGGCTTGTGTCGGAAAGATTTTAGGCGGATCATTTGGTTACGGATTGTCGGAAATCATCAAACAGGCTTACCACTGATGTTCAGAGAATTACAAGGAGGGAGTCGAAATCTTCGTGTTCGGGTTTAGTCGTGGGACCTATTCAGCTCGCAGTTTAGTCTCGATGTTGCATGAAGTCGGCGGGGTGTTGAAGAAACCGGCAGATGGCTACGTAACCAAGGCCTCCGTGGAAGAAGCTTTCAAATTGTACCGCAATGATATGAAGCCCTGTCATCCAGTGATGAAAGCATTTGCTAAAAATTGTTATCCCGTGCGCGTAAAGTTGGTGGGCATGTGGGATACGGTGGGAGTGCTCGGAGTCCCCGATTCAGCATTTAAAAGCAATACCTGGTATGCACCAGTGTTAAATCTTATAAGCAACACTCCGCTGTCCAGGAAAAACTACATATTCCACGATCAGGATCTATCTTGCATCGTCGACGAAGCCTACCAAGCTTTGGCAATCGACGAATATCGTGAAGACTTCGATCCGACACTCAGGGGTAAAATGACGCCAGAGAACAAAAAGTTGGAGCAATGCTGGTTCGTCGATAGCCATAGCAACTGCGGAGGCGGGATAGTAGGGGACGACCTGCGGCAGTTGTCCTACGAATGGATGCAAGACAAGGCCATAGCGAATGGCTCACGTTACAAGTGGACCTACAAGGCCAGTGAACAGCGGCCACATTGGCGCACAGAATTGGAGGATTCTTTCAGAAACAAGCTCGGGGGTGCGTATGCATGGATTAAAGAGAAGGAGCACTCTCGTGTCATCGGTCAATCTGTCGGGGAATTGCAGCACTGGTCTGTCAAGCTCCGACCGCAGAATAATTCAAAATACAGTCCAAAGGGCCTTGGGACTGTGGATGACAGTTCTGGCGAAATGAAGCAGTTTCGTAGTGACATTCCATACACAAAACCGCCAGTGGTACTATGTTCTTTCAATGAGGACTCTATTTTCACTTCATACTCCGCTGAAAGATCGTCCTCCGGCTGTAATGGCGAGAAAAAGACCTCGTGAATGTTTAAGGTGAATTGACAAAATCAAGTCCAAGTTTGTCATTAGATTGTTGTCACAGTTGCACTATTACCCGATCTGCTGGCAACGTGAAGCTTGTTTATTTTATAAAATTGCAAATATGTTGATGGCTAAAGTAGTCAACTATTTAGCATCTGCAAATCTGATGGTCGTCGTAAAATCGTGGATCGCGCCATATCAGTGTTTTGATCGAAGACTCTCGTCGCCATTATCACCCACAACATTAGGTGTTTTACTCTTTGAATGAGAAATACTCTTTTTTTATGGCGAAATCATTGTACAGATTGTTATGTATATTGTAACGTACCGCTTATCTACTAAATGTATACCTCTCCGAACTACAGGAATGAAATCAAGAACCAATTCAAAGAGGAAAGCAGAGGCCAATCACGATTCCCTTGGTACATAGACTCTCATCAAATTCTGATTTAGCAAGGCTTTACTGTGCTAGAAGGCGCATCAACAAAGAACGTTCAATACCAAGCAAACTATAAAAACTGATCGAACAAAGTGTTGGATCACCAGACCTCCCTCCGTAACCATGGCATTCCAAGTAGGCAAACCACGATTGTAAGTAGGGAAAAGCAATTTCGACAGAATCTGGCTCATTCGTAGCAGCTAGGAGGCAGCGACACCTTCTTTGCTGCCGTCGCACCTCTTCACATTTTTGTTGCGAGGAATCTCGTTGGTTCTATCCGGAACTCCTACATTCGTCAGAGGCTTGGGTTGATACTCAGGGTAGTTTTGGAGGCGTAGCAAGACACTAGGGTGCAGCGATTCCTCCACCTTCTTGCCAATTTCTCGGTTGTTTGGTTGACCCAAACGATATATCCTATACATTCCGAACAAGAATGAACCGAAGGAATCATTGGGAGCCTGGCGCCATTGCTCCCCTGCCTTCAACATAGTCTTCATGCGGAGACCGACGGCTACGGCTTTGTCTTGCATCCAGACATACGGGAGAATCGAGAGTATGTTGCTCGTACCACCGCCTCCTATGTTGCCATGATCTCCGATAAACCAACATTGCTCAACATCCTTGTTCTTCTCTGTCGTTGCATCCCACAGAGTAGCGTCAAAATCTGCTCTGTACTCATCGATCGCAATTGCATGGTACGCGTAGTCCACGATGCACGAGAGGTTGGTATCATGGAAGCGGTAGTAATCTGGGGTGCCGGGCAACGTCAAGGGGAGCCCCAATGATGGAATACCGAGAGCCCCCACCGTTTCCCAGACTCCAATGAGCTTGACTCGTGCTTCCTGACTGTGCTGGGCTTTAAACTCGGTAGCATCACTCTTAGAATCTCGATAGAGATCATAAGCCTGCTCCACGAGGGCCTTCGTCGGCTGCTTCAACACACCACCAATTTTGTTCATGAGCCCTACGAGACTTCGCGCTGTGTAAGCCCCCCGGCTGAATCCGAACACAAAAACCTCATCTCCTGGTTTGTAGGTTTGTGACAGCCATAAGTAAGCATCTTTGATGACCTCGGATAACCCGTATCCGAATGCTCCGGCAAGAAGCCTATCTCCCCACGACGTTCCAACGCCTTCAAAGTACTTGACTATCTGCTCAACTCCATCTCCATTCGCATCTTGATCAACATTCTCGAACAGAATTGCAACGTTGGTGCGATTGACCTGTTCTTGCCATGTGCCGTCCAGAAGCAGCACTAATCGACGAAATGAAGAACTCATCCTGTGGATACTGGCACGAGGTTTTTGACATTCACAAGTTATAGACGGATTTCATTGACTGGTAATGTACTTGACGAAGAGAAACCCAAGAACTCCGAGAAAGCAAAGTGGTTCGCCGATTCTATCTGCGAGATTATAAATCACATTCATATTTTCGACGGTAGTATCAATAAAAACAGTAGATTTTCTCTTGTGGCCAGTGATGATCGCACAATCACACTCCGACAAGAACTTCCCTCCAATATCATTTGCAACAACTCTTCCTCACCGACAACGACGCTCGTGTTTCCATGCTACTAGATTCCTTGCAGATACTGAAAAAACCCCTCCTAATTTGAACATAACCCCGCCTCTGCAAAAACAAGCATTTTTCTAACCACTCCAACACATACTCTTTCTACTTGCAACACCAGAGGTACTTGAACCACAACGGAGACAAGTGACGGAACTCCAGTGCTCTTTGACATTCAACTCTATGCCTCCAACTCTTCACACCTCCGAAGCAGGAGAACCATTCTTCATCAGAACTTACCTTCGAACTTCTATCTCACCTAGAAGGCACTGATTTTATAAAAACACGGCACTGTCAGCACCCAGAAAAACAAAGGAGACAAGTGACGGAACAGTCTTATTGAAAAACACTGCACATTTGTCTCTGAACCTGCAAAACCGTCACTTGCACTTTCGATCGAAGCGATACTGAGCATCCGCATACTGGGCCTACGACATTATAAACAAACTCCCATCTCACCTGGTGCGTGGAAGCGTGAACTGCAACATTCACATGGATACGTGTGTGCCCGTTTACGAAGCGACCACACGACGTGCAGACTATTCAAAGCCCACCGAGACACCATGTCTGTTTTTATATTACTGCATGGCATACAAGTCGCATTCCAAATGTCCAGATCTTCACTCACCACCCCGCTGGAACCATCACACTCTTTAACCAACATCCGATGCCTGACAAAGCTGAACCAGTATCCAGCGTCGTTGAACACGTGTATGTGGATAACCCTACGACGAGGACTGAACTAGCACTATCCCTAGGGACTCGGCGACAGATGCGGCGAGGCTGGCTGAGAAAACACAGCGATGGAATCGAATGGTATCAGGCAGGCCAAGCAATTGCACTGCGGACAAGCTCCGAGACTATCTCGTACGGCTTGCGTACAACGAACTATTGCACAAGCACGGAACCCATTTGCACTCGGCATGATCTGAGCGAAACCATTTTTTGGTATATATTTGGCAGGATTTTGAGAGTGGGGTTCACCTTCGGAGCAGCTCGAAAGGTAGATCTAACGTTAGATGGTTTCGAGGCCGTTGCTTGAGAAACCACAAATCATACAACACAAGGCATTGATTGTGCGGCCATTCATGCTTCCCCGACACGGAGTTTCGTTGTAGGAGTATCGATCCGGTACAAGGAACCTCGCAATATTAAGAATAGCTTAAAGTTAAAATCTGATTTTTTTTATTGCGAAGATGGGTAGATGACATGAGTTCATCTACCCATGTTGAGTACTAAAAGTGGTAAAATTGAAATTTGCATTCCAAGCTATTTTAGACGATTTTTTCCTGTTTCCTTTTTTTTTTATTTTTTTTTTAAACTTTTCAGTCTTATGTGGATTCCAGTCTCTTGCGGAATATAGTGTTCGTAATATTTTCCTCCACAACATTTTTGGTGGAAAGTATGTCCGGGAAATGTTATAGTCTTTGACCACTTTTAGTGCTTTGTGTTGGTGATTTTATTCACAACTTTTGGTGGGAGTTGAAAATGATGGAACTTTTGTTTGAGATCGTTATTTTAATTTTTTTGTGCTATCCCAGTAGCTAATTATCCATGTGTTTTTTTAACTATTTAAAAATTCTTTCTATTTATAGATATTTTACTTGATTTAGCCACAACTATAATCAAAATCATTTGGATACATTTTATCATACATTGGTATATTACAATCATCACTGTTTAATTGAATCAAACTATACTATTAAAAATTATGTTATTTTTTTGTAACCATTGCATTGATGTGACCATTAATTTTCTTAATATATTTTGAATTGGTTAAAAAAACTCTTCAAATAATTTAATTTCTACTCAAAGATTAAGACGTGGTCTACAAAAGGATAATTGTTATAAGATTAGAATTACTTGATTTTAAATTTGCTTAAACTAAAGGCACAATAAAAATTATGAAAGATCTATTTCTTCAAAATAATCAATACAAGCCACAATTGCCTTATATCTCAACTTTATGAGAATAGATTTATTACTAACTTGTATCTTCTCTCACATTAATATTAAGATTAAACATGTTAATGCATATTAACTTTTTATTTTTTTTCTCTCAAATCTAAATTAACAAAGGATTTTTTTTTTCCAAAAAACTTTGTCTTTTTTATTTATTTATTATACTCTATAAAATATAGATTATTATTCTACTAAATTACTTGGGATCAAAAATCAAATTATGGAAAAATCTGTTGAATAAAAAATAATTATTTAAAAGATATTTTTAATATGTGCCAAAAAAAAGAATTCTTTATTTAAGATACAATATTACAACTAAATTTTATGTATCAACTAATGTCCAATAATTAAATCAAGATTTAAAATAACTACAAATTTTACGTATAAGACAACCTTATATAATTTTTTTAAATCTCTACATTATTTAAATAAACATAAATTATAAGTTTCATATAAATAAGTAAATATACATTAGAATGATAATATTCAAGAAGTTTCCTAGATGTAAGTGGAATCTATAGATTCTTTTTTAGATATGCCATATAATAATATAAACATTATTTAGAGTTTTTTTTTTTTTTTTTTTTTTTTAATTTGTAAAATTATTATAAAAGTGCGAAATAACTTAATACTTAGCATTAAAGCCTTGTAGCTTTTTTATGTAAAATAATATATAACATTATTCTTAGCTAGTATATATAGATGAAAAATTAATTCTATTCTCAATCTTGTCAATATTCTTTTTTGTATTCTAGTGTTTATTCAAGATGCTTTAGTTTCTATATACTTAGAATAATCATTCTAGTACTTTGTCATTTTAAAATTATATACAACTTAAATTATTTTTTCTATTTTAGTTGTATGATAACATGTCTATATATATATATATATATATAATTATTATTTTTAAATTCATATCTCAAACAACTTCATAAGATTAACATGTATGATATTGGAGTTTATTCTTATTTGATAAATAAATATAGTATTCATTTCTATTGAAAATACTAAAATGATTTAAAGGCTACAAATTATCTTCTCTTCTATTGATATTATTTTTTCAATAGTTTTATATTTTTATTTGCTTTAGATTTCTATTGCTTGCATAAATATTTTTTAGGCAATTAAATATCTCATGTATATCTATATCTATGTGTATATATATATATATATATATATAAAATAAAGAATGTCATAGCACAAATAGAAGAATAAATAAAGACATTATTTTTTATGCATCAATTTTGCTTTTTAAGTAAAGGAACAAAAAAGTGATTGGTCAAAAAATTATTTAAATCTAAAAAATATTAATTATTATTATTACAATTATTACTTTTTATTAAATTATATACTTTTTATTTTTTATTTTATATCATTAAAAAAATTTTAGAAAATAATTTTTATAGATAAACATTCAGATACAATTATATTTTTTTTATGAAATTAAGTTGAAGAATGAAAAGATATTAATTTGATTTTTTTTTCTATGTTCTTATAAATTTTCAAACACCAAAATCCTTTTAAACAACCTTGATGCATTTATTATACATAAATCAAAAATTTATTTTTGACACCAAATGTATTTCTATATATTTTTATTTATATTCTAATAATTCTATTTAATTCTATGTATGTAAATATCAAATTAACTAATAATTAATAATTCAATAAAATTGGAACATATATATATATATATATATATATATATATATATATATAAATTTTATAAATATTAATTGAAAAAATTGGCTTTAATATCAAACAAAAGAATGAATTTTTTAGTCACATACGTATATATATATATTGTCATAAATGCAATCGTATCTCAAAACATATGCAATTCTACAAACAAATATTGTTGTTGATTATCATGTATAATTTTTAAAAAATCAATATAAGAACTAATACTATAATATTTTAAATTTTAGTATATAAAATATTAATGAATAAATGAATAAAAATAGGCAACGAAAAATTAATTTGTATCGTAAAGAATCTAAAAAAATTATATAATATTTTATAAAAATAAATAGAACTAAAAAATAATAAGTGTGATATTAAAAAAAAGAAAAATATCACATATGACCCTGAATTTTGCAGGATGTCAAGAATAACCCTGTATTCTTGATAATATCAAATCTACCCCTATTTATTTTTAATATTACACTTATTATTTTGATAATGCAAAAATACCCTCTGAAGTGATAACTTATCAATTTCCAATTCTTTTTAGTTGTAGCTGGGCCCCGAGTGTCACTTTTCCTTGCTTTCTAGTCCCCGCACGAACCGGACGCCCCCACCGTCGCTGTAGTCGCAGAAATCTCGGCAGGCACTTCGGTTTCTTCTTGCGTTTTATGTTTTTGAGTGAGTGCAAATTCTCAAAACCATGTTTGTTCTACATGTTTCACTGCTCAGTCTCCACTTTCCATCACTTCCAGTGCACGATTATGGCTCCTCTGACCAGCTCACTCATTCCATGTCCAGCTTCATGACCCACTCATGCTTCGCGTCTCCAAGGGTTCAAGGTTTGAGCATTACCTAAGATTCCAAAAATGACTGAAATGAACGTGACCCATGGTTGCTACTATTGGTGCTGCAAATCCCTCTTGACCAGAATGAATTTACTAACTGCGTAGATTACTTCCACAGGTCCACTCGCAGTTGACAAGTATTGTGCAGGAAACTTGGTGTGCAGCCACAGTGTAATTCTTTTATTGGTTTCTAATAATTTCCCATCTCAAGTGACTCTCTCAAAACTACTTATTGTTGAACTCTACAAGCTGAACTCTCTGTTAGGTTGCAGAAGATTCATAGTTACAAGGATGCGATATGAATTTTTACAGTTATGCGCCTGTAGTATGAAATTCAAAACCAATTGCAGAGAGTTGCGATCGTGACCACACTCAAGGGCTGAGACCAGGATGACTGCGGCAAGTACCATTTTTGAATACCCATCTAGCTGCGCCGACATGTATTCATTAGTGTGGTTCATTGATGTGGTCATTGATGGCAGCCTCACAAGAAGACGCAAACCGCTGACAAGCCAGCGACTCGAATTGCGGCAACGTAGTGACCTTTAGAAGCTGATCTTGCACCTCACTAAAAGACTTGAATACCACCTCGTTCACCGTCTGCATCACGACCTCATTAGTAGAAGCTCTCACACCCAACACTTGACCTCCGTGTCGTAGCACCACATCCTTGCAGGTAGCGCTAAACTCCCCGTTACACCAATCCTCACGGCCAGAGTAATAGCAGCCGATGTGTTGTAGCTGTGCTGACATGTATTCATTAGTGTGGTTCACCGTTTCTTACTCGACACCGTTTTGCACATGCTTAAATAACTTTCTGAGTCTCTATGTCATGTTCAAGTCCGCATTTTGTGTCTCATTCTGACGGAGAATGCAGAGGTTTGTGTTTACTTTGTCTTTAGAGGCCCAAGTGGTGAACAATTGGATCTAATGATTCCGCTCACTGTCAGTTCCGGTTGCTTACACATCCATAGAAAGTTGCCCAAGAAAAAAATGTGCCGCAGAAGTTTGTGCAAATTGAGCTCATTATTGTGGAGAAGAATTGTTCTCATTGTTAGAAAACGAGGCCCCATTTCGCTTCATCATTGTTTTGACTTCTCACTCATTCTCTAGCTCCTCTCATCAACTTTTTCCAA